AACTCCCTCCCAACTCAAGAGGCAGCCTGGGCCAGAGGACAATCCAAGTGATCTTGGGCAGGTGGCCGATGACCCTCTGGGTGCCAACGGCCCTCAAAGCCATAGTGGGAACAATCAGCTAGCCTTCCAACCAAGGTTGTCAAGAAGATGACAGGAGCCTGGACAAAGGACTTAGAGGGGCCTGGCCCATAGCCAAGAGGGGCAGCACCAGCTATTTCTGAAGACGGCTGGTGTGAAAAGCAGACAGAGCTGGCAAGAAGCTGTCCTGCTTAGGGCTAGGTGGGCACCCCCAGAAAGGGGAGACAAGCTTACTTCCCGGGGCCTCGCTGTGGGAGGGGAACAGAGGCTAAATTAAGGCTCCTCCTGCCACCAGTGCCCGAGCTGACATCCACACAGCCGCCCCCTTAGCAGCAGGCGAGCAGCCCCCAGCACAGCTCTAGAACAGTCATGGAGTATTTGCGGCAGGCCTCCTGCATGTCCTCCCCCCACACACCCTTCCCCAGGACAGAGCCCTGGCAGCTGTCCTCCATGCCCCAACACCCTCCCCAGTCTCTTGTGTCTCAAGGCTTGAAGGCAACATGCCTGGAACCCCCAGCCCTCCCTACACAGGATCCCTCACCCAGAGACCTCAGCCCTGGCATCACCTCGAAGCACCTCTCTCAATCAGCACCCTTTTACACCACCCCACAGCATCACATCATCCCATTTTATTTCCTTCCTGCTGCTGGCGGCTGTCAAGTTCTTTGTGCCCATTTCTGTGCTGTCTTGTTCATTATTATATGCCTCCTGCCTCCAGAATGTCAGCTCATAACACTAGAGGCCCATCTCGGTCACTTCTGAACATACAGCACCTGAGCAGTAGCCCTGTGCAAACCAGCTGCTCGATCAGATTCGGGTGGATGCAGGAACCCAGGCTCCCTGCCTCCCACAAAGTCTATTCAAACCTCCAGGTGGGAACCAGCTCTGGGTACAAGTACCAAGTGCTGAGAACAGGGAGGAGGGAGGTTGGGGGTGTTAGGGCTGCACTGACGGCCACACACATGTCAACAGAATCCTCACAGCCTTAAGAGAAGAAGGAGCCAGAGCTGAGAGAGGGCAGGGCACTGGGACCCTCACAGCCCTGACAGAAGGATCTGGAACTGGGAGGGGTTGGGTACTGGAACCCTCACAGTCTTGAGGAGAAAGATCTAGAGCTCAGACATGGCCAGACACTAGGAACCTCCCAGCTAAGAGAAGAAGAATCCAGAGCTCAAAAAAGGGTCGGGCAGTAGGACCTTGCAACGCTGCAAGAAGAAAGAGTCAGAGCTGGGAAGGGTCAGATACGGGAATATGCACAGTCCTGAGGACAAGAAGGATCCAGAGCTGGGAGAGGATCAGGCACCGGAATCCTCATAGCCCCAAAGGGGAGGAATCTTGACTGGGAGGGGTCACTCACTAGCCCAAGGCCTCAAGCGGGTAGAACAAAGATTCAAACTCAGATAGACTACAATCTTCAGGCATCTTGAGCCCCTCCCTGGGTCCTCAATTTTTCCTTAACGATAATATGCTCCTCTCCACCGAGGAGCTTATAAACCAGGAGAGAAGGTCACCCAGCAACAGAAATACCCAGGTGGTTGAGGCAGGTGCCCCAAGGAGGGTCACTTCCTCAGAGTGGCCAGGGAACACTTCTCTAAGCAGGTGCATGTTGCTATCTTGGAAGGATGGATCTATACCTCCGCCCTCTTCTCTCCCAGAAGTAGCCCACAGTGAAATGGGAGATCTACAGGCATAGCTGCCTCGGGACTCACTCGAGTTTTTATATTCAAGAAGAAGCTTCACGAAGCCTAAGTCTAGACGGTGGCAGCTGTGTATATTACCTTCTGCTACATTCCAGACTGGCCACTAGGTCTACACAAAGGCAGCTCACACTCCACACCCCTCTGGAGAGAGAAACCATGGGGGACTTCTATACTCAGGCTCCTCCAACAGCTAGGATTACAGGCTCTCTTCGGCCACAGAGAAAATTTCGCAGTAACTTCCTCTCCAGTCCCCTGCCACATCTGAGTCTGTGAAAGTCTCTTTGCAATTAAAAGTAAAAATAAAAACCCTCTCCACAAGTTGCTATTGACAAACCATATAATAACCACAGCGCTACAGAATAGAAAACTCCAGACACTATTGACAACTGCACATAAGAGGTTTTGTTAGTAACCCCTACACTTCTCCGGTCGCACAGACCAGTTCTTCAAGTCACCGTCCCCATGCCCACCACCCAAAAGCACCCAAGCCACCCTGATTTTAGCTCAATCCTCTACAATGCCCAACAAGTAATATTAAATATGAAATTGCCAAGTAACTTAAATTATCAGTCAGCTTCCGAGAAAAACTCAAATTTGGGTCACCCTCAAAGTTTAGTCCAGCTGGCCTAGATGCCCCAACTGGCTTGGAGAAGCTCTTTGAGGGAGCCCCTCCTGGCTGATCAACACTGTCATACACAGTGTGCTTCGAAGCTGTGCTTCGAGGGGGATGAGCTGGAGTCTGTAGTTACCTTCACCCTCACATGAGGAAGATCCAGCTTAGTTAGGGGATGTAACCAACACCCTAAATTAAAAATAGCAGTATGACAGCATGAGGTGGACACATAGGCAGACCTTCCGGACAACTAGATCAAGCAAGGGTAGCATGGCAGGGAAGGCGGGGCTCTTAAGTGACCAGGTACCAAGTTCACCTTATTTACATGACTCATGAGCTCTCCCCCAGCTGTTTCGAGGAAAGCCCGCCTTCCTGCAGGACAAGTCAGAACGGCCTAGGGAAAAAGACTCCAGACTGGAATGCCACAAGGAAAGGAGACTTAAGCTGGACACAGTGTCCCCACCACCTCCTCCTCCTCACCTGCAAGGGCACCTTAGCCTCATCTTGAGGAATCCTTTTGACAAGGGGAGAACTCGCTCTTCTAAAAAAAAGAGACCTCTTCTGTGAATGGGAAACTGTGACACCAGGACAGGAAGGAAACTGCCCAAAAAAAAAAAAAAAAAAAAAAAAAGTGGGAAGAAGCACGGGAAGGGTGGGCACCAGGAAAGTGGTGGGAACGTTAACAGGGGAAGAAATTCCCGGCTTAGCTAATGGTGCTGAACAAGTCTGGGGCAGGAAGAAAGCCACATTCCTTCCTAGTTAGTCTCTCTTAGTCTCTCTCCTCACCCGCCCTCGGCCCCCCCATTCCCAGTATACACAAACACACACACACACACACACACACACACACATGCACACATGGAGCAGGGCCTCCACGAGCCGGACACCAGACCCCTCCCCAGCCACTTTATGACTGCAAAGTCCCCACTTTCCAGGCAACAAGGAAAAGGGCTCCCAAGCCACTTCTTCTCCTCAGGTCCTGACCACTCCGGGCACCTGCAACTTCTGTCCCAACACAGACGGAGGGCGCCATGACGCAAACAGAAACGGGAAGAAGCAAGTTTCTGATCAGGGTCCCAGATGTGTCCCCAAATCGGGCCTGAAAGAAGGTGCACTGCAGCCTCCCCCCAACCCACGCACACTGAGCCAGGTGGCAGAAGTGAAACGCCTCTAACTTCCCCAGATGGGCCCAAATCAGCCCCTGAGAAGTTTGAGAGTCAGCAGCTAGGTGCCCACAAAGGGCTCCCAGCCTGGGAAAGGCACCATGCCAGCGACCCCCCACATACACACCTTCTTCCCCCCAAAACATTCCCACTCTCTAAAAATGTCCAGTAAGGCAGGGTCCCCTGCGAGGAGTAGGGGAGTTGGAAACAAGCTGTCAGTTTCTGCCCAAACGCCCCTTCCCAAGAACCAACAGTGAGCCCAATTCCAAGGGCTCCATTGGTGTCAAAGCCGGCCCTCCCAATGAAAACACAGCTTCCCCACAGAAACGGAACAGGATCTCCACAGGTGCCCCGACAGCGGTGCCCCACTGATCCACCCTGCCTGGCACCCAGACGGAGAAGCCCCAAGCTTCCCCTCCACCCTGTCCTCCGGCCAGGTGAACAGCTCAGTTCCTGCCCAGGTGCTGGGTGAGCCGGGAAAGGCTCTGGAGCCTCCGGGTGCCGACTTAGTCGCCCACCCCCACCCCCGGACCAGACGCGCGAGCTCCGGGTCCCTCGGCCGCCTCGGGCCGCCCGCCAGTGTCACCTCCCAGCGCCGTAAAGGAACGCAGTTCCCCGCGCTCCAAGCTGGACAGGTGCCCACCCCGCGACCTGTCGGCCCAGGGACCCGAGAACAGCACCCGGGACGCCGGACCCCGCGCCCCCAGGCCAGGACGCCTCCGCGAGGGGCGCGTGAGGCCGGCCTGCGCTTCGACTCCTCCGACGGCCGCGCCGGGCTCCACGCCGCTCACCTGGCTGGAGCGGTAGCTCTCGAAGGCCCTCAGGGCACTGTCGGTAAGCTTCACGTGGAACACAGACACCTTGCTGCCGTCGCTCACCCGCCCGCAGGACAGCCCGTAGCTCCGATCCTCCTTCAGCGCCGCCATCTTGCGACCATCGCTCCCCCGCCCCCCCTTCCCGGTTCCAGCGCCGGAGCGCCGGCCACGCCCCGCCCCGCCGCCCGCTGACGCGCTGCATTATTCATGAGACGCGGCTGGCCACACCCCCTCTGGATCTAGCGAGGCCCACAGTAGCCTCTGCACGGCCGGCCGACTGCTGCATTATTCATGAACGCAGCTGGTCGCGCCCCCTGTGGGCCTGGCGAAGCTCACAGTCACCGCCCCAGGTGCTGTATATTCATGAAGTGTGGATGGCCCCACCTCTCAAGGCCCCGGAGAGGGTCACTTCCGTGCCCGGACTCCGCCCCGACACGCGCACCCCTCCAGGCCCCGCCTCAATATACATTATTCATGACCCTGACTCAGCCAGGCCGGCCGAAGCCACGCCTCACTGGCCGCTGACGTGATGCATTATTTATGAAGTCGCACCAAACCTACCGCCTTTGGTTTCTGTTGAGAGCGGTGGCCTGTGCCTGAAGGGGGCGGGGCCGGTGCAAAACACGTGGGGGGCGGGGCTGGCTATTGGCCCGGTGAATGGGCGTGACTATGCAAACCGAGCGCGCGTTGGACGCTGGGTTGGGCTAGTGGGGCTTCCCTTAAGGTAAGTAGATGGGATTCCCTGGCCCGGGCTGTTAGGGAATTGGGGGTGATGAGGAAGCAGGAAATTTTGCTCATGATAAAAGTAGACTTTTATTAGAATAAAATTCTACATCCCCAAGGTTCCTGAAATATGGTGGTTGTGCAGCTTTCCCATTTTAAGAAAACACTTTATGGGGCACCTGGATGGCTCAGTAGGTTAAGCCTTGGACTTTGGCTCACGTCATGATCTCAAGGTTCATAAGTTCCAGCTCCGCACCGGTCTCTGTGCTGACAGCTCAGAGCCTGGAGTCTGCTTCTCTCTCTGCCCCTCTCCTGCTCACACTGTCTCTCTCTCTCTCTCTCTCTCTCTCAAAAATAAACATTAAAGGGGCGTCTGGGTGGCACAGTCGGTTAAGCGTCCGGGTGGCGCAGTCGGTTAAGCGTCCGACTTCAGCCAGGTCACGATCTCGCGGTCCGGGAGTTCGAGCCCCGCGTCGGGCTCTGGGCTGATGGCTCAGAGCCTGGAGCCTGTTTCCGATTCTGTGTCTCCCTCTCTCTCTACCCCTCCCCCGTTCATGCTCTGTCTCTCTCTGTCCCAAAAATAAATAAACGTTGAAAAAAAAAATAAAAAAAATAAATAAACATTAAAAAAGGTTAACATAAAAAAACATTTTATATATCATAAGATTAACCCATTTAAAGTGTGCTATTCAGTGGCGTTTAATACATTCACAATGCTGTGCAGCCACAATGATCTCATCTGGGGAAATTTTCATCATCTCTAAAGAAAACCCGTACACCAGGCACCTGGCTGGCTCAGCCCATGAAGTGTGCGGTTCATCACGGAAACTGCTTCCGGTCCTCTGTTCCCCTCTCTCTCTGGACCTTCCCCGCTCGTGATCTCTCTCTCAAAAATAAAAATAAAAATAAAACATTTAAAAATAAATAAAATATTTCAAATAATTTTTTGAGGGGAGGAGGAGCAGAAAGAGGGGGAGAGAGGGAATCCTAAGCAGGTTCCACATCCAGCGCGAAGCAGGACACAGGGCTGGAACCCATGAACCATGAGATCATGACCTGAGCCAGAATTGAGTCAGATGCTTAACCAACTGAGCCACCCAGGTGCCCCCCAAATTAAAATATTTATAAAAGAAAACCCCTACCCACTAGTCACTCCCCATCCCCCCTTCCCAGCCCCTGCAACCAGTAACCTACTTTCTGTGTCTATGGTTTTACTAATCTGAACATTTCATATCAATGGAATCATACCATATGTGACCTTCTGTGACTGGCACTCAGTGAAAGACTCAGCATGATGTTTTTGTGAAAGTGAATGAAGGCAACCTCATTTAAAATAGAGTCAGGAGGTCAGAAGAAGGAGCTCTGTGCCCTACTGACTCATTGTTAATTGCAGACCCCAACAGGAAGACGTCTACTTTACTATACCCCAGCAGGACAGAGGATGATTTTCTCCTCACCCAGCAATAGCCCAGCCAATAAGACACTGCCACAACTCACCCAATGAGAAACTCACTACCTTGACTTTCCTCCGATGGACTTTCCTTCAAAGCAGCCCCTCCCAACTTCCTCTCTTTTCTCTAGGAGGTAATGTTTCATCTCTTTTGTTTGGTTTTGCCAATACCCTAGCTTGCATGTCCTGAGTTGCAATTCCTCTGCTATTCCTGAATAAACCCATGTCATTGGTAAAATAACTGGCTGTTTCGTTTTCAAGGTTAATATATTCAAGGCTGGTCCCGTTGTAGCATGTATCAATAATTCATTCACTTTTATGACTAATATTCCATTGTGTGGATGGGCCACATTTTGTTTACTCATTCATCCACTGATGGACATTTAGGTTGTTTCCACCATTTGACTATTATAAATAGTGCTGCTGTGAACACTCAATGTACAAGCTTTTGTATGGACAAATATTTCCCCCTCTCTTGGGTCTAAACCTAAGAGTGAAATTATTAGGTTCTATGGTAATTGTTTAACCTTTCAAGGACCTGCTAGACTGTTTTTTCACAGGAACTGCAATTTTATCAATCTCTCATTTTACAGGTGGGGAAACTGAGGCTGGAGACCAGGTCTGGCTTGTCCAGGCAAGCTTCTCCTGGGCTCCTGGGTATCCTAACCTATGGAAAGTTCTTGATTTGTTTTCTTTTTCCCTTCAATCTAATTACAGACAGTAGTCATAGGATGAAGATTTTAAGGTGAGAGAGGAAGGTGAAGTTCAGGGGCCTTCTGTCTATCTCTACTCAGGTGATCTCCTTAGATCTGCCCACCGCTGCCAAGTTGGCACTATCATCTGATCATGAACTGCAGACCCCAAGGCCATGCTAGACTCCTTGAAACCTTTTCCCGTAACTGCCATTAACATCTCCATTTACAAATGGAGAAACTAAGGCTCAGAGGCATGAGGCAAGCACTCAAGGGTATTGGCCCTGCCAATGAGTGGGCTGGCTAGAACTTGAACTTAAGATCTTTCTGACCCAGAGCCCTCCTGATTACCCTTCACCTTGCCTCTAAAACCTGGGTCCCTTTCTCTATATTTCTTCATTGAACACCCTCAGCCCAGGGCCTAGCATGGAGTAGCTGCTCAGGAAATGAGTGTTGAACGAATAAATGATCTCATTTAATTCTCACAACACAACTACCAGCCAGTTTTGTAGATGAGAATAAGGCTCAGAAAGTTTTCACATGCTGCCACAGAGATTCCAACTGCAGCCTGCCTAAGGCTTAAGGGTTAAAACTCTGGAATCCTCTACCCTTCACCTGGGGTCAGTCCATCCTACAGGGAAGATGCCAGCACTTGCTCACACACACTGACCCCTCTGCCCACTGTCTGTGCCCAGCTGTTTATCCAGGAGCTGGGCCAGGTAAATATTGGAGTAGGCAGGGCTCACTGCCTAGAGGGATCACGGAAGGGCAGGAATAAGGCAGGTGAGGAGTGGTTAGTCAGAGTAGAGGATGGGGAGGATAGAGACAGGTGGACTGCTGAATGGAGAACGCAGGAGGAGCCAGCTTTGAAGGCTGACCAGCTCCCTGTGTGACAGTGGGAAAGGCAGGACCCCTTTCTGAGCCTCTGTGGATTTATCTGAGAAATAGACAACAGTAGGACTATTGAGTGCTTAAAATACACCAGGTTCTGTGCTTGGCATCCACGACTGCCTTTGGGAGTGAATACAGTGGTTTGGACTCATCTGCCAGATGAGGAAACCAAGATTTGGAGAAGTCAAGAGAGTTAAGAACACAGCAACCATGGGCTGTGCTGCTTAGCACCAAGCATTTCTCCACTTTACCCTTAATGCTCCAGTGGCTCCCAATGGAACCCCAGGAACAATAATGGAGGAACCATCAGCCATTGGCATGCTCTCCAAAATCTCTAAGAACTACGTCACCCAGGGGTGCCTGGGAGGCTCAGTTGGTTAAGCGTCTGACTTTGGCTCGGGTCATGATTGCACAGTTCACGAGTTTGAGCCCAGCATCAGGCTCTGTGCTGACAGCTCAGAGCCTGGAGCCTGCTTCAGATTCCGTGTCTCCCTCTCCCTCTGCCCCTTCCCCACTCACACTCGATCTTTCTCTTTCAAAAATAAACATTAAAAATCTTTTATTAACAAAAAACCAAAAACTACTTTACCCCAGGAATTTGAAGCTGGTTGGTCCAATGGGATGGCCCCTGGGTGTGCACTCCACCTGGCCAGCTCATTGCAGAAGGTCTAGCTCTATGATGGGAACAGTGACTCTAGTCTGCTCCTCATCCCCTATATGGCTTTGGACAGGTCTTACCCTTCTCAGTGTGCTCACATCGTAAAACAGGGATAATAATGGCATTTACACAAAAGCCGGGCCCTGGGCCAATGGCAAATAGCATCATCATGGAAGTAATTATTATTATTTTTTTTAATGTTTAGTTCTGAGAGAGAAAAAGGGAGGGAGGGGCAGAGAGAGAGGGAGACACAGAATCTGAAGCAGGCTCCAGGCTCTGAGCTGTCAGCCCAGAGCCCAATGCAGGGTCTTGAACTCACGAACCGCGAGATTAAGACCTGAGCCAAAAGTCGTACGCTTAACTGACTGAGCCACCCAGGCACCCCTGGAAATCATTATTAATGAGTTTACAACAGTTTATCTATATAATCCCTTTCTGTCACATCTTTAGGTTGTTTGCAGTTTATGTGTTTTTAAACCACACTGGGGGGCGCCTGGGTGGCTCAGTCGGTTAAGCAGCCGACTTCGGCTCAGGTCACGATCTCGCGGTCCGTGAGTTCAAGCCCCGCGTCGGACTCTGTTCTGACCACTCAGAGCCTGGAGCCTGTTTCAGATTCTGTGTCTCCCTCTCTCTGACCCTCCCCCGTTCATGCTCTGTCTCTCTCTGTCTCAAAAATAAAATAAATGTTAAAAAAAAATTTTTAAACCACACTGGGATGAACACCCACTATTAGTCAGCTATTGCTAATAGCTATTACTAATATATGTATTAGTTATATACTGCTATATAACAAAATACTTCAAACTTAGTGGCTTAAAACAATAAACATTTATTATCTCACAGTGCCTGGGAGTCAGAAATTATCTCACAGTGCCTGGGAGTGATATGTTTTAACTGGTCCTCTGCTCAAGGTCTCATGAAGCTGCAATAGACTGCATCCTCATCCCGAGGCTCAACTGGAGAAGGATCCATATCCAAGCTTCCTGAGCCTGTTGGCAGAACTCATTTCCTGGTAGTTGTAGGACTATAGTTCCATTTCCTTTCTGTCATCTGGGGGCCAATCTCAGGTGCTAGCCACATGGCCTCCTCCATCTCAGTAAGAGAAAGCCTCCCTCTATTGAGAGGGAGAATTCTGAGTGTTGAATGCTGAACCCCTCTCATGGTTCAAATCCCTCTGATTTCCTCGTCTGCAGCCAGTGAGTCAGGCCCACTCAAATTATCCCCATGTCTTAAAGTCAGTTGGCCCAATAACATAATCACAGGAATGAGATCTGTCCCACTTCTAGTCCTGGGATGATATAGAATAAGAAATCTCGGGAACACCTTAAAATTTCTGCAGCCCATAGCCCTAGGAGCCACATCTCTGCACACCTGTCCCACAGCCTCCTACAAACTCAGTTGTTCAGTCAGCAAATGAGCCTCAGGGATTCTGAAACATACTACTTTGCAGCAGACATAATGCACGGACTCATTAGGGAACTCACTTTGGAGAGGGCCCCTCTACGTGGTGGGGCAGCCAGCATGCAGCCTCAGGGTCCAATGCCTGCTTCCCTGCCCCCTCAGCTGGGCATCTCAGAGCCAGCAAGTCTAGCTTGTAGGCCCTCAGGCCTCATCTGTGCATCAGGGAGGCTAACAGTCCTTCTTGGGACAGGGAGTAAAGACATCTGTTGTTGGGGATCCCCAAGACTATGCTCAGGTTTGATGATTGACTAGAAGGACCCACAGAACTCAGAAAAGCTGTTCTGTTCATGGCTATGGTTGATCACAGTGAAAGGACAGTCTAAAGTCCTCAAGGAGAAGAATGCGTGAGGCAGAGCCCTGGAGAAACCAGGCACAAGCGTCCAGGTGCAGACCTGTCACAACCTTTGCGACAACACACACACAGTACTGCCAACCAGGGAAGCTCACCCGAGCCTCATTATCCAGAGTTTCTACTGGGGAGGAAGGCTGACCACCCATGTGCTTGACCTCAGTCTCCAGCCCCTCCAGAGGTCCAGTTGATACCATTTGGTTAAAAGCCCCACCCTAAAGTATATTATTAGCATAGACTCTCTGGTGTGGCCCAAGGTCTTAGGTAAACAGACACTTTTATCGGTCAGGACATCCCAAGAACTTAGACGTAGATGTGACCTGCCAGGAGCGGACCGAGGGCCAGTCCTTTCTTGGGAACATGCAGGGCTTGGACAGCCTAGGTCTGCTGAGTTACTTCTTTACTGATCTGTATCAGGTGGGGCTCCAAGTGTCCCCAAACCACCATTTTGCTTCATGGATCAGCTGTATTATCCTCACCGTGAGCAATGAAGAAGGTACGGCCTAGCATTACCTGGACGGAGTTTATAGTGATGACCATGCAGACTCTTCCTCAAAGGTGGCCTGCGTGCTGGCTGTACCTTCCGGAAAATGTTCAAAGTCAGTTAGAACACTGTCATGCTTAGGTGACTCTGACGGCGCCACAGCCGATCCCCTCCATGGTGATTTTCTTCCTTTAACCCATCCATCTGTCCACAAGCATTTATGATTACTCCTTTCTGTCCTCTGCCCAGTCAGGGAGGCTCCCTGAGGAGGACACAACAGGCCACAGAACAAAACTGATACGACCCAGCAGACTTCCCTCCTCTAAATGCCCACATGCAACAGAAAATCCAGGCTGACTCAGGCAAAAACAATTATTGGCTCAAAAGAGTGAAGAAATGATAGACCTGGGGCGGGGCACAGCTAGCTCCAGGAGCTGAATAGGATCACCGTGACTCAGTCTCTCTCTCTCTCAGCTCTGCTCTCTGGATGGCCTTCACTCTCAGGACCCTCTTCATAGAGACAAAGATAACCACAGCAGTACCAGGCCATCAGCCCCAACTCAGCATCCTCTAGAGTAGAAGAGTATCTACTTCCTCTGGGTCAAGAAGTTTCAGGGAAGGCTTTGATTGGCTCATTGTGGGTCACAGTGTGGAGCCAATCACTGTGGCCAGGGTGCTAGAACGCTCTGATTGGTCAGGCCTGGGTTGCAGATCCATCCCTGAAGGCTGGTGGGGAACCAGCCCTATCTGCATGGAAAGGAGTGAAGGTGGGTTCCACCAGGAGGAAAAACAGAGGACAGGCATTCAGGGACCTAATGGTACCACACTGGGTGACTCCAGCCAGCCCTCACCCACGCCCCAGGAGCTCGTCCTTTAAGGACGACATGAGGTGGAGGCATGCAAAGGATGCTTCCTCAAAGTGCTCAGGAGATGTGAGTGCCTCCCTCTCCCCCCGCCCCCCATACACACACACACACACACACACACACACACACACACACACACACACAGCTCATTCTATCATGCTCACTTCCAATTCACAGCCCACTGTGAGCTGCACCCTTCAAGGGCAAGGCAAGGCTGAGTCATTGCCTAGGACCAAGTACACAGGAGGCACTGATACCTGTTTTCATATGAAAGAATATCCATCCTCTGAATGTATCATGTACTGCCTAGCCGGCACACCTTTGCACATGCCATGCCAGTCCTGGGAGCACTCTTTATGCCTGCTAAAGGACTCCTGCGTCTTCAGGGACACTTCAATGCCCCTCGTCCTGGACACCCTACCCCGCCCACCCCATTCACACAATTGAGGCTAAAATGACCAAAGGAATGAATATTCTAAACGTCACACTTCTGGCGATGGCATTCAAAGCCTCTCTCATTTCTGGCCATAACTTGCAGAGAGGTGTAGAATTGGCTGGGGGTCAGAGCATGGGCTCTGGAGGCAGGCTGACCTGGGCCTAATCCCGCCTATTGTTTCTTGGGTGATGGGACCCTGGACAGGAGCTGACTCTTTTCTGAGCCTCAATCTGCTCAGCTAATAATGGGCACAACCAAAACATCCTTGGAGCAAAGGGAGAAGACACACTCAGCCGGACTCCACTGTTACTAAAAAACTAGTCTTCAAGACAGCATGGGACCCAGTGTGAGACCCACAAAGAGGACACAGAGACCCTCAGCATGGAGTAGGGGCCAGAAGACTCGCGTGTGTGGTCAACTGATTTTTTACAAAGCTGCCGCAGTAACTCACTAGGGAAGAGAAGGTCTTCCCCACAGATGTTTCTGGAACAACTGGATAGCTATAGGGGAAAAAATGAACCTTAACTCCAACCTTACACTATATACAAATGTTCACTGAAAGTGAATTGTAGTCTCCATAGAAAAGTTGAAGCCATAAACCATTTAAAAGCCTAGGAGCGCCTGAGTAGCTCAGTCAGTTAAACATCCGACTCTTAATTTCAGCTTAGGTCATGATCTCACAGTTCGTGAGATCAAGCCCCACGCTGGGCTCTGTGCTGACAGGACAGAGCCTGCTTGGGATTCTCTCTCCCTCAAAATAAATAAATAGACGTTAAACAGAAAAAAAAAAAAAAAAAAGCCTAAAAAAATCCCTACAAACTAGATTTAGCAAATATTGACAAAAAGCACACAGAAAGGTAGAAAAAGCTGATAAATTGGACTTTATTAAAAATATCTGCTCTAAGAAAATGAAAAGTGAGCCACAGAATGGGGAAAATATTCACAATATACTACCTGACAAAGAACTTGCCTCCAGAATGTGCGACAAATGGACACAGCATGAGGCCGCCGTGGGTACCCGGTGGACGAGTGCCATGACAGACATGATCGCCACTTGGGAATGATGGCAGTGGTTACTCTCACAACCTCGGCCAGGAAGTCACCCTAGCCAGCCCACCATCCCACTGGCCACCCCTCAGGCCAGCTTCCCAGCCTGAGGTCAGCAAGTCTGAGGAAAGGGGGGGTGTCCTACCTGGGACTCCAGTCCCCCGAGCCTGGCCAACCCACAGCCCTTACCCCAGCACCACTCACAGAGCCCCCCTCCTGTCTGAGTACAAAGTAGAAGCCTAAGGGGGCTGAATGGCGGAAAGGAGGGTTCAAGCCACCAACAGATCGGTGTCCACAGATCTGTGGCCACAGGCTTATAGAGCAAGGGCCTGGTGCAGGCAAGTTCAAGGCCTGATTGCTACCTTCTGCTGAGTGGCTGTGGCCAATGGCTTTCCCTCCTGGGCTGCAAGGGGACAGGTGCAGGACAGATCCTTAACGGTGATCTATTCCCAGAGATCTCCTTTCCTGGAGGCAGGATGAAGCCTTGAGAAGGGTCTCAGGTGCTGCACTGACAGAGGCCTGAACACTGACTCTACCTGTTCTGGCTGTGATGGCACACAGCATTTAAAGGAGATGATCCTACAGCCTCAGATTGGGAGAAAAACTAAACAAAACCAAGAGGAGCTCGTGGAATCAACCCCAACCTCTCTCCATAGTCCCTGAGGCCCTGCAGGGTCCAGTTCTGCTGACCACACACTCTGCTCAACCTTGAACACATCAGGCTCACCCCTGCTCCAGGGCCTCTGCACTGGCCACGCTGCTACCCAGACACGGGGCTGTCAGCGTGCAGCACAGCCAGACCCCTGTGGCCACTGAAGTCTCAGCCCAGCACCCAGGTAGATCCTGCCAGGATCCCCATCTTCAGATGGGGCAACAGAGAGGACAGCAGTGGGGTAACCAGCACAGCTGGGTGTGAACTCCTGCGGAGTCCAGCTGGGTACCCTGAACACATTGCCCCACTTCTCCAGGCCTCCATTTCCCCCTGTGTAAAGCAGGTCTGCTGCGGTCTGAGAGGAGACACCCCCCGCTCTAGTCCTGCATGACCCTGGATGTGACACAGGCTGTCTCTGGCCCCGCCCCAAGTGACAGCGGAAGAAGGTACTGGAGCCAGCAGAGTGCGGGGTAGGAGGCTTTATTTCACAGAAGGGGTAGGAGGGAGAACCTGGACAGAGGGCAGCAGGCGGGGTGGGTGGGTGGTGGTGCTTGGAGAGGGACTGGGTCAGGAAAGGGCTGCCCCCAGGCCTGTTGGGAAGGAGAAACTGAAGCCGGCCTCTGCTGAGACCAAACCCAAGGGGGTGGGGGTGGGAGTGGAAATTGGGTCTGGAGGAATGAGGGCCCCCTCCCCCCGGGCTGGATATGGAGCCCGGGCCCTGCCTCAATTTCCTCCTATAGGGCCATAGTCCCTCCTGGCTCACTAGGGCCACGTGGCCCCCAAACCTCACTGCTCCCGCCCCAGAGGAGGGGGCTAGATCAGACAGGGCAGTTGACAGGGAGCCTGGGGAAGTCAGGGAGCGCGGGGTGGGGTCCACGGTGTGCGAAGGGGTGGTGGCCACCTGGGTGGTCAGTTCCTGGCAGCGATGACCACAGAGAGAGCCACGCCCCCCAGGGCAACAGCAGTCGCCCCAAACAGCCACTTCCATGGGATGGACTGTGGATAAAGGGGAGGGAAGAGAAGGCCGGAGGGTGGTCAAGACAGATACCCTGGTCTTCACCTACCAACGTGGCCGAAAGAGGCCTCCCAGCAAACCATTGCTGGACAATGCCTTTCCTGCCTTCTGGCAAACTCCTACTCAAGCATCGAAACTCCCCTGTCCTAGAACACTACCCCTTCCCCTCTGGAAGAGCTATCATTCCCTGCCCTGAGCCCTCGAAATTGTGTTCCATCTCCTGCTCCAGCCCTGGCCACACAGGGCTGGGGCTTCTCTGTGTCTCCAGCATGGTCCAGCCCGGTTGACAAGGACATTAATGCTTGCAAAATGAAGAAACTCCTTCTGCGTGGTGTGCCCCACCCTTAGCCCCTACCCCTCCTCTGGGAGCATCCCTGTGCCTGCCAGCCCCAGCTCACCCAGGCACCCTTGCCAGGACACTTGGCAGGCAGCCGGCTGGGGTTGCCCAGCATTTTCCGGTACAGGGCGGTCTCTGTGCTCCGCTGGGCTGCGTGCTTCTTCACCAGTTTCGAGAGCTCTGCGTGGATCGTCTGCAAGAGGCAGGTGTCAATTGGGCTAAGAACATGCAACCTGACCATCTAACTGGACCATCATCTCTGATGCTCTGCCTTTCTGTGGCCCCTGGTCACTTTGGACTGGGTCCACTGGGACATGGAAGTTCCACCTGCCCCTCTCTGGGCCTCAGCAAAGTAGGGGCCGGCATCTCTATCCCCCTAGGTAACCAGTGGAGGAGGCAGAGCACAAGGTGGCCAGGAGAGAGGAAGATTCCAGGAGAAAAGCTGAAGACACTGACACGGCCCCGGTTAGTGGCACCCTTGGCCTCTGGGATCCCCATGGGGGAGGGCTGAGCCCAGACCACCTATGCAGGAGTCGTGACGGTCTCAGCCAGCTGGCTGTGGCTCTTCAGCCACCGATCCCCTGTCACTCCCCAGGCTGGAACACCACAGGGAAAACCACAGCAAGAACAAGAAGACTCCAGGATGACTTCCCAGACAGGCTGGCAGAACAAGTCCCAAGGGCATCTCCTGTCTGCTCACCTTGTTGGAAGGTTCCAGCTTCAGGGCTGCCCTCAGAATGGGGATGGCCTCACTGTACTCCCCTTGCTGGGCCAGCACCTGTGGGAGGAAATGGATGGCATCACTCCAGAACCACAACGGACCGTGGTCTTCTTCAAAAGACCCAGCCCTGCCAGGCTCCTGGCCACCCTGACTAGTCCCAAATCTATCACCAACAACTACCCCAGGGTTCCAGCCACCTTCACTCCCGAGCCCTCAGACTACACGAGTGCCCCACTAGGCGGTGTCATCCCAATCTGCTCCCACCCCTACATGTCAGTCTCAGCCTCTGCAGGAGACCTGGGTGTGGCCTCACCTCCTCCCTCGCCACCCTGGCTCGTTCAAGAAGCCAGGTGAATGTTTCCAAAGCTTTGGCTACAGTGGATGATTCAGAGCCAGCCAATGAGATCCAGCCTGAACAATGCTGGTGTCACTCAGAGACCAGATGCTAAGTGGGGAGGATGGAAGCCTTGGTCTTTTGAGGGGGTAAGAAGCAGCATCTCGGTCACGTTGAGAGGGAAAACCCGTAGCAGACAGGCACAGCATCCTCACAACATTGCTAATGCCTGGATCCAGCCATGCCTGAAGCCAAGCACCCTGGCAGTTCCACAAGCTATTAATTCCTCCTCTTGCTTGCATCAGTTTGAGAACGTTTCTGTCACTACAACCAGCAGATACAAACATGCATGAGACCACATCAGCAGACAATCCCACTGCCCCCAAGAGGATTATAAACCTTTGGAAAATAGGGGCAGCATTTTCTTCCCAAGTTTCTACACAAAACTCTACACACAAGTGCTTTAAAAATGCTGGGTGGAGGGGCGCCTGGGTGGCGCAGTCGGTTAAGCGTCCGACTTCAGCCAGGTCACGATCTCGCGGTCCGTGAGTTCGAGCCCCGCGTCGGGCTCTGGGCTGATGGCTCAGAGCCTGGAGCCTGTTTCCAATTCTGTGTCTCCCTCTCTCTCTGCCCCTCCCCCGTTCATGCTCTGTCTCTCTCTGTCCCAAAAATAAATAAAACGTTGAAAAAAAAAAAATTAAAAAAAAAAAAATGCTGGGTGGAGAAAGGCCCTGTTCATGCCTCTCATAAACAGGCTGGGTGATCCACCATTTGCTTGTATCTCAATTTCCTCCATTCACTGATAAAAGGTGCTGAACTCCCTGTCAACACACACATACGCACAGACACATACGCACAGACACACACACACACACACACACACACACACACACATACACAAGGGCAAGGATCAACAAAAATGGGGGCGAAAGCAATTACGGTCAAATCTTCACAGGCCAAATTCATCCCTACATTCCACAGCACTTACTGGGTACCCCCTGTGTACCTGGCCCTGTTTGCAGGGCTAGAGATCTCACACCAAGTGAGCCAGACAAAATCTCCAGCTTCTCGTAAGGGAGGTAACAGCCATGATGACACCTGTCAATGCTGACGACAACATGGAAAACATGAAGACAGGGCAGGGGGGCAGGGGTGTGTGGCCGGGAGAGCTTCCTGAGGAGATGACATCAGAGGCAAAGACCTGAAGGGATCAGAGAGGGGCCCAAGGGGGGGCAGGGGGGGATCTGGGGTATGCATGTCTCAGGCAGAGGGCATAGGCTGTGCAAGGTCACTAGGGTGGGAGTAGACCTGGCCTGGGCAGGAACAGCGAGGAAGCTGAGCAGGATGAAGAGGAGAGGCAGAAGGTGATGGCAGGGGACCAGATGACTCAGAGCCCCAAGGGCTGCAATGAGGACTTGGCTTTTATTCCGACAAAGATGGGAACCACGGAGGATTACATGCAAGGAGCAGTCACCAATAGGCTACCCCGCAGTGTCAGGGATAATAGGACCTAGGATTCAAGTCTGGCCTCGGTCAATGAATTACTGGGATTCAGGCCATACCAAAGCACCTGTCTAGGACTCAGGTTCCCCACTTGTACCCCAGAGAGCTTGGCTGGTTGATGCTTATGCCCGTCTCAAATCCAGAGTCTGGAACCAGCCCCACTGTTCTGGGCGGGGGAACCAGCCTGCCCACCTGCAGCCTATGCCCATCTGCCCGTGGCTGGCGGTCCATCCATCTGCAGCCCACAGCTCACCTTGCCCTTGCGGAAGAGCGCCTTGATGTTGTCGGGCTGGTGCTCAAGCACGAGGCTGCAGGAGCGCAGCGCTGCACGATAGTGGTCCAGCTTCAGCTGGGAGGCTGCCAGGTTGTTCAGACATTTCACCTTCAGCTGCAGGAGCTGCTCCTCCTCCTCGAATGTCATGTCCACTGTGGGAGGATGGTGCTCAACCACAGCAGTGGTTACCACACTGCCAGGCCCCCACCACTGCCCATCTGCGGAGCGACGGCCGCCTTCTACTTCGGGGAAATGCGCCCCGTGTGCTGTGTGACTCAGGCCAAGGCCCACTCCTTCTGTACCTCATGGCAGAGGAGCCTGGGTGGGGAGGGCCTCTGAGTATCCCCGTCACAGGAGACGGGGAAAGGGGGCTCTGAGTTCCCAGTGGTGGGGCCTCCATCATCTGATCCCCCAAGCCCAGCCCCTGCCATCTGTTCCATGAGTCCTCTGGTCTCAGTTGCCCTATTTCTAACATACACCAAGGCCAGCGCCAACCTTAGGGCGCTATCAAGGAGTCTGTAAGATGGAGGCTAAGCAACGCAAAGGCCTAACCACAGGGCACATGGATTGACACGGTGTACAGCCACCCACATTCCTACATACACCTGCGTCTGTAACATTCCACTGATCAGGGATACGCTGCAACTCCGGAGTGGACCCTAACCTAAAGATTAGGAATAGCTGAACATCTATCCATGCTCTGGAATATTCTAGAACATTCAGAGTCTGAGGCCCGTTGTGGCAGAGGGAAGTTTCTGGCACACTAGTGGATGCCTCTGCAGGGGAACGGCAAGATTTGACCTGGCAGTCACCTTTGGCGCTAGAGGTGATGGCCTTGATGGCGAGGTCGTAGGAATTGGCAGCCAACACGAAGTCGGCCCGCTGGTAGTGGGCATTGCCACACTCCCGCTTCCGGTTGGCCAGAGCCACACGCTCCTGCCCCGTGAGCATTTCCAGGTCGGGTCCATCCACGGCAGTCTTCAGGGTCACTTCCAGGCACAGGGCCGCGTGGGGGGGGATGTATGGGCTCCTGCTGGGGGATGGGGCAAGAGCAGCACTCAGACCCAGCGGCCACTATGAATGAACCTCAGACATGCTGGTTTAGCTCTAGGGAGCAGGGGGGAAAGGGTTCAAGTCTTGGAGCTGGCCCCACTGTCACCCCCTCCTCAGTACACCGAAAGGGAAGTAACTTACCACCCATGAGCTACCTGACTTGGAGAGTAACTTCCCTTCCCTAAGTCTGTTTCTTTTACATAAAATTGGCAGGCAAAGGGGTCCCCCATGGGGACCCTGCTGGTGACAGGTTCTCACCTGCCCTGGGGGCCATAGCAGTACTTGGAATCAGCAGTGACCATAGCTGTCTCCCCGACATCCATGAGCGGAACGCTGAGATCCAGGGCCTGGGTGTGTAAGGGCAAGGGGTCAGGCAGGCTCAGGTGCAGAGTAGCAATGCCATGTTTGCTCTGGCCCCCCCATCTTCCGGCCCCCAAGCCCAGCCCCTGCCAGCCACCACCACCTCCCCTCCATACCGCCTTGCCTCCTCCGCTCAACCCCAGGGCAGCTGCCAGTCCCCTCGCCCCTTCCCACCTGGATGACATCGCAGTCGCCCAGTGTGAACACCAGCTCTGGCTCTTCCTGCACCCGAGTGCCATTCTCCAGCGAAGTCTGCAGCTGCACAGTGACTACCTGGCCTTTAGCTGGGCGACTTGAGCCGGGTGGGCCTGGGACCAGCGTCTTCTTCCTTAACAGCCCATTGCCTGCCGGGGACCAGGGACAAACAACCTGTCACTAGGCGGCTTAGATGGGTGCCTGCTCCCTGAGCACCCCTCCCCCAGCACTCAGCTGAGCCTCAAACAGCTGCTCTGCCACTTACTGGGCAGGTGATCCCATGCCTCTGGAACTGTCCCTGGCTGGACACTGGGCATTAAAGGATTAACTTGAGGGGTGATGATAATGGCCTGTCTGACCATCATCTTAAGAAAATTAAGACTCGTCCAGGGCAAAGGGCTGAGAAAAGTTGTCCTGCCCAGCATTGTCAGGCTGGCAGGGATATCCAGACTCTGGAGCCACCCCCATCTTCCTCCCCTGGTTCCAATCCAGCCCTTGACATTTGGGCCTCAATTTACCTCACCATGAAATGAGGTAGTCAGGGGGACCCCTGGAGACACCCAGTGAGCAGTTTGCTTGGTTAGCAGAGTGCCTGTGACACCAGGCGTGTGTTCCTACCAAAGCGCCACATCGCTAAATTTAAAAGTTAAACAGAGCCAGAGGGCCTATATACAAAAGTGCCTGTGATGGCCCCAGAGCTCATGTTTTTCTCCATGCCCCAAGCAATCACAGGAATGGCCAAATGGTCACAGCCAACAGCTACTAAGCAGGCATGAGGCCGAGCACCCTTACAAACCACAATAAAGACACCCACTGACATCCCAAGACAACCACAGGCAATCGAGGGCTTACACCTGTGGGGCCTTGTCATACTGATACTACCCTACAGTCACCCATATTCTGACATTTATCTGCGTTCCATAATATTCCACCAGTCTGGAATATACCATAACTCGAAATGTACCTTAGACTAAAAGTTAAGGACAAGAAAGTTATCGATTGATATTCTGCAATATTCTAGAATGTTCCAAATTTCTGTGCTGCTCCTTGACTTGTACATACCCTACATCCAGTCTCAGAACCAATGACCTAGGGGATCCCTAGGGATCCCTGTGTCTAGAAGTTTCTGGGCACTAATGGTGGGTGTCCTGGAAGGGTTACAACCAGGCACTGCCTCTCATCGGGGTAGACTCTGGGGAAATCAAGTACCCTCTGAAGGTCTCAGTTTCCTTGTATAGAAGCCCAAATACTGACCTCAGAAAGTGGCTGGCTCAAATATAAAAGGACAAAATCAGGTTTGCGTGCAGAAGGACAACAAGGCAGCTCTTAGTATCAGTAAAGAGCTTCCCAAATTCTAATATGGCCAAGGGGGCTGTGTGACCTTGGGCAAGCACCGCCACTTCTCTGAGCCTCAGTTTCCTCATTTGCAAAATGGGGATATGGTAGGAATTACATCACAGGGTTGTCGTGAGGATAAAATACGATGGACAGGCCTGGCACAGAACCAGTGCTCAGTAAATATTACCTGGTGTTATTTTTAGAAGTAACAATGTTTTTATCAGCAATAAAGATAATATCAGTGACAATTCTGTATTATCGGTATCAGTGTTATTTAACACTCTTATTTTAACGTTAGTATCAACAGTGTAAAAATGATGTTTTACTAATGTATTTATTAGCGGACACCGACATCATTGAATAATGCTAGATATCAGTACCACTAGCAAAAGGTTTTCTAGTTTCCAGAGTTGTTATCATGAGGTGGGGCATATGGGTGGGCTCCCCTAGTTTCTTTCTTGCAGGACTTCTCTGAGCAGCTACAATGCTAATGCATGCTATGAGCCAGACAGAAGCATGAACAAAATGGGATGTTCCGCAGATCCATCTGACCCATGGACACATTTTCAGGAGACAGGCACTTGCCAGACAAATGCCAAAAAAAGAAGCAGTGGGGGTTGGGAGCTGCCAGCGCCTGGTGTGCTGGCTGTGTGGCTCCGGGCAGGTGACTCAGCCCCTCTGAGCCTCTGTTAGCAGCTCTGGGAAACAGGGACATAACACCAGGTGCATGTGCGTGTGTGCATGTGACAACGAAAGGGATTCTTAAACATGAAGTATCTCAACCAGTTGCCTGTGGCTGGCAATCACCGTGGTTACGTGTTTTATTTCAAACCTACTTCATAGCAGAGAAGGAAAAATGAGGCTCAGGGGAGAAGGGGGCCTAGGCCAAGGTCACTTCTGAACCTGAGCTGTCCAAGCCCTGTGGGTCAACCCAAGCCACCCCTGCTCCTTACCCAGGATGTCCAGCCACTCATCAGGGGCTGGGGCGGGCTCGGGCTCAGGCTCCATGGCGGCCAGGAATTCTCGGGCAAGGGCCCCAGGCTGCTCAGCCTCCTCCAGTGGAGGCTGCCCCACGTCTTCAAGTGGTGGCAGCTCACTCAGATCTTCCTCCTCCTCCTCCTCCTCCTCCTCCTCCTCGCCCTCTGCGTCTTCCACCCCATCCAGCACCTCGAAGTCCTCAAGTGGTGGGACCCCAGCAGGCGGTGGGGCAGCGGGCTCAGGACCCGCGGCAGAGGGCTCCGCACAGGATGCCATGCTGCTGGGGGGACGGGAATTGGCCCTGGTGGGGGGAATGGATGGGGTAAGAATCCCACCACCCAGCCCCTCAAATTCTCCTCTGCATCCATTCGCCACGCTGCCAAACACTTGCTGTGTGACTCAGGGGCTCCAGGCCTCAATTTCCTCATCTATACTAGTGGGGAAAGAACCACCAAGCCCTGGACATCAATCAGTCCCAAACAATGTTAGCTATTATTACAGCTAATTATCTTTTAGTCTTTATAAATACCCAGAGAAGTAGGAAACATTCCCCTCCCCCATATTTTGCAGAAAAGGAAATTGAGGCCCAGAGGGGCAAAGTCATTTACCCAAGGTCACAGAGCAAGGCAACTGCAGGGGCAGAATTTGAACCTGGGGCTTATCTGATTAAATGCCCAAAGGGGGTGCTGGGATTTTTTTAGGGCGACTGAAGTCTCACGAAGTCTATTTTTAGAGCCCAAAGGGAATTGAGTCTTCACCAGGGCTCCCTACCTTCAGCTGCCCCTTCTCCTATGGGGAGCCACCTAGAAATCCCAAGCCTTCTCTTTCCATAACCTGAACCTAATACCACTCCCCCAACACCAAAGACCCTGGCCCAAACTCTTCCCTGGGAGCCCTTTCTCCTCTTCTCAAGCCTCCAGACCATTCTCAAAGTAGCCTCCTTTACAAGAGTGATCAAGACCCCGGTGGCATTCTACAGCCTCTTCCTTGGGCCATCAACTGTCCCCTTCCCCCAGGCCCCAAGCTCGGAGCTGGTAGAGCCTAGCCATCATTCTAACCCACAGCATCCTCTCCCTAAACCTCACCTGCCTGCTCCTTCCGGTCTTTGGCCCCATATTCTGAGACCCTCCCAGCCCCTACCCCCACAATCCCCTGCGCCCGCATAACTCGCCCTCCGCCCTCCCCCAACCACCGCCCCCAGCCCGGGCCAGCTACCCCCACAGCCACTCAGTCCACCCGTAAACACCCTGATGTCCCCAGACGCCCCTCTCCGGATCGCATAACACTCTACGCCCTCTAGACGCCCCCGGCCCAGGCCTGGTTCTTCGTCAACCTCCCACCCAGGGCCCCAACGCTTCATGCCTCTTTGACGCCACCAGTCTGGGGCCCCCGACCCCTCGCACCCCTCGGGGGCCCAGGCCCTGCACTTCTCTGGCAGCAGCGCCCCCACCCACTCCCTTCAGCCCCATTCGGTCCCCACCCCCGGTTGCCCCCGCTCGGCCGCGCCCCCTCTAGCACTCCGACCCTCCGCTCCCCCCGCAACCGGTTCGCCTCCCCCCGCGGCCTTTGGCCCCGCCCATCGGCCCCAGCCCCCGCCGCCCCAGCACCCAGACCAGCCCAGGCCTGGGTAGCGCCCCCAGCCCGGGCAACCCTGCCGGCGCCCCGGGACACGTGCCTCCGGCTCCGGGACCCCCGCCTGGGGTCCTGCGCCCCCCTCCCCGCCCCCAGCCGCGGCTGCCGCGCCTCGGGAACCAGGCTCGGGCGCCCGGCCCCGCCCCCACCACGCCCATTGGTCGCCGCTGCTGCGACTGCAGCACCCATTGGCTCCAGCGCACATCTGTCTTGGGAGCAAGCACCACCCTCTTCCTGCTTGTTTCCGCGGGGCGTTCTTAAAGGGGCAGAGACTGCCGCGCCACCCCGGACGGGGGCGGGGGCGGGGGCGGGGGCGGGGGCGGGGGCGAGAACCAGGACGGGGAAGAGGGCCGGGGCAGGGGCGGGGGTAGCAGGCGGAGGGTCTACAGACCCAAGTCTGTTCGCCACTACGCGCCGGGCTGCCTAGCGGGAATCTGCTCCCGTCTGAGCTTCATCTTGCTCATCTGCAAAATGGGGATAAACACCCCCATCCGCGCGCTCTCACCTTGGGGGATTTGGGGAGGACAGCCTTAAAAGGTATTGCCTTAAAAAGCTCAGTCTTGACCATCAGGGCAGCTCTGGGACTGCTGGATAACCCACCCTGTAGCCCTAGTTACGAACGTGGTCCCAAGGTCCTGAAGGGGAGCGATCACCCAAGAGCACACCGAATCCCCGCCTCACCCTCGCGTGGTCTGTGTAATCCCCTGAAGGTTGCCTTTTGCATACAGAAGGAATTCAATTAGTGGCTAGGTGAGCGACTGAGCAACCAGGTCCGCTGGAAGGAGTTTCTCCTCCCTGCACCCTCTGCTAGAGGGTGATAAGGTACCCATGGCTTTGGGAGAAGGTGGCAGTGTCGATTAGATGGATTTTTATGGATCTTGTTTTTTTTGGGGGGGGGGGGCGCTTACTCTTCCTTCGCTCTATTTTATTTCATTCCCGGGGTTTACTCATTTACAGAACGATCTTACATCTTTTGCTTCCCTCCTCTTATCCTGCTTTGCTCCATTCTGGAAAGAATTTTGCCTGTTTTGTCCCCAACGCATCCATGAATACCTAGCACCTATGGGAGTTCAATTGATGAATGAATAATTGAATGAATGAATGAATGAATCACTGGCTATTGGAGGTAGCTAACACTGGAGGAGGTAACTGGCTTTTGGAGGTAACTAAGGTCAGATTGTAGCTCCTTGCGAGGTCACCTCCTACAGGAAGCTTTCCCTGACCTCCCCAAGGCAAGGCCTGGTTGGCTGTCCTCTTAGCATAATGAACCTCTGCTTCCTAACTGATTTTATGTCTGTGCCATTATTTGACTTACCTCCGCCTTGCCCACTATATTAGAAAACTCTCAAAGCCTTGGAATTGTCTACTGTTTGCCATTGTTTTAGCGCTGGGGCCTACACAGTGGCTGGCACAAAAGGAGAGGGGGTGAGGGGAATTCAGGAAAATCATTGTGGTTGGAAGGAAGGCAGGCTAGCCAGCCTCAGAGGTGCTAGGCTAGTGAGGATATGTAAGAAATTTCCTGGGAAAGAACATCAAATAAACTCTGGGCCAGTGGTGGTTTTGAGGGACTTGGACTTTTCCCTGTCCATCTCTGAACCTCAGTGTTTTCATCTGCCCAATGGAGTCTCTTACCCATCCAGCTTCACCTCTGTTATAAAGGCTGGAAGAACTGTAATAAACAATGAGGGGTGGGGCACCTGGGTGGTTCAATCGGTTGAGCGTCTGACTTTAGCTCAGGTCATGATCTCTGAAGTTCACAAGTTCCAGCCCTGCCTCCGGCTCTGTGTTGAC